AAAGGTTGAAAATTTTGAAGGCAGTCCTTTTAGATTTAATAATGTGCTACATGGCCTTTCAGAGGACAGCTGACAGGTAAGTAGACATTTATTGATACAAACAGACTCTGTTAAATGAGGAGTTCTCTCCATGTGCGTATTTTAATTATTTTTTTATAACTTCTTCTTTCTGGAATGGCCTATTAGGAGAATTGTTGGAACGGTTTTATGCAATTTGACATTAATTACACAATTATACTACAGCATAAGATAAACAGTCTGTTGAGTTTGTCTGTTATTTGGCAGGAAAAATGCAATTCAGCATCAGACTCTTTTCACCCAATAGTCTGTTTCAAGAAATGACAACATATTTTTTCAGTGAATCTTGGCCAGGCTAACACAGCAAGATGTAGCTACTTTAAAACTTGGTTTTTTTTTTTTTTTTTTTTTTTTTTTTTTTGTACTATAAAGAACAATACACCAAAGCAGTTTGGAGAATCTGCTCAAGTAAATAGAAGTCAGTATCCTTGTCCTGCTGCCCTCCTGATATTCCTTTCTTCTGTACTCATTTCTGGAGCAGCCTGTTATCAAAGCAGAGACACTAAGAGTGGCAAACTATGACATAACTGTGGGCATTTCAGGATGCCCAGCCCTTGACCGAGTTTATCGCGTCTTTACTGAATTCTAAACAATAGTCAAGATGCCCATTTTAGTTAATTGGCTTTTAGAGTGTTGGATGATTATCTGTCTCCAGCACATGGGAGATGAGGGGGAGTTTTCTTCCTCTGTAAGCTTTAATCCCAAAATTCTTCACAATAGAATACAAACATGGGTGATGAGTTAAGGCTACCTATAGGAGCTGACCAAGGTTTAAGATATTGAAAGATAAATGAGACTCATTTCATGAGTCTAGTCAAGGGTCTGATGTTCTAGGAAATTCATGCTTCAATTTTAGTATTCTGTTTATATCATTGTTCTTATTTTTATTAATTATGACTCTAATATATTCATCATAAGTCTAGAAAATATAAGGCAAAAAGCACAACAAAAATGGAAACACATTAAGTACATGAGTTAATATGGTTTCTAGGTTACTTTGATGAATACTTTGCCTTAAGAAGCAGCTGTTTAGATCTTTCCTTGCTGACTAAGATGCCTTTTCTTAACTAGATAATCAGCTTTTAACTTTCCTAGTCTCATCTGTCACCCAAGTTTTCTAATGTAACATAGTATCGTGGTAGGGAAAAATCTGGGTCTTTGGGAATAAGTGACTGAGAAAGCATGTTTGCATATTTGTTCTGTGAGCAAGAGTGGAGGACAAAAGATTTAAGAATCCCTGATGAAACAAGAGAGCTTTGAGAGCTTTCTCTAGTTTTGTGTTCAAAAATAAAAGAAATTACTTTTCTAGCCTCCTGAAATTTTGCTTCTCAGTTGAAAGTGAGGTATGTAAGATCAGACATGGCATAGCTTAATGTAGAGCGTCGTGTACTTTCTCATACAGACCAAATTTAATAAAGATGTGGAGGAGGGAGGTGAAGCAAAAAGCAAGCTGTTAGCTGAGAAGAGGGAACGTTTTACGGAAAGTCAAAGTTTTGATTGAAATCATTTATTGGGTACATACTCTGTGCACTAGGGCCTTGGTTTGAAGCTGTGGATAAAACATTCACTTTACCAACAAATTTTTACTGAGCACTTGCAACAGACCAATCCCATTCTGGGCACTGGTGATGATAATAATAGATAAAAGAAATAAAAAGCACAGGAATCACTGTACTCTTGAGTTCTATGGGAAAAATTCTGACAAGATTGCAATGTATAACTCTACTCAAGTTTACTGTAATAACTACCATGGAGAAAATAAAGCTTAGGGGAGAAAGATAGCAATGAAGGAATGGGGCATGAATGAAAAGAATAATATACTGTCCCCAAGTCTTAAGAGATTTGTCTGGATCCTGAAAGAACTGGACTATGACAAGACAACGGGAGGAGGCAAATGGGAGTCTCTGAAAAAGTTTGTTCCATGTTCTTGAAGTATCTGGAGTCTCATTCAGAAGTTATATAACTGTAACAGTGATGAACTCTGAGTAATAGCAGGAACCTTGGTCCAAGTGAAGTCTAATTCTTTTCCCATCAGAGGCACTTCGTCTCCAGGTTTCATATTCAGGATCTACTGGTGGGCTTTATAGAAACCTTTTAGATTACAGATGCAAAAAAAGGCAAATGAAAACGGGTATATTTTTATTGAAAATAACAGTATGAATAAAATACATATTCATTGTAAGTCTAGAAAAATATGAAGTAAATTGCAATACTTTGAAGTAAATATCAAATCAATGATAATCAAGAAATAGTACTAACATTTATGTGTATTTATTCTAGTCCGTACCCATCGTCTGTTTTCAATTTTCTCTCTACAAATCCCTCTATTATCTGTCTACATATCTATCTACTCATGAACAACTAGAAAAAAAATCATGTAAGTTGATTCCTTTTCCACTCAAATTCGTCTGATCACATTTCCCACATCTGGGAAAATCATTTTCTTGATGGTATGATGCCTGTGGCAACATTTGTACTGAAGAGACATAGGTATGTTTTGCACAGCTTAGGGAAAGATTAGGCATTTTTATTTTCATATTGTTAAACATAGGCTGCATTTATCATGCTCAAATTACTTTCTGATAATTAAAGCACATGTCCAAATTTTAAAAATGATTTGCTTCTTGTCTTCTTGCTTCCCTAACTCCAGTCTTATCCCTTGCTATGGCACATGTAAACTTTTTGTGCACTTCCAAAATGTTCTGTATATACAATTATTTAATATCTCATCCTGTACATTGTGTTTGACATTTTGCCTTTTAATTTGCTTTATAATTCTTAAAAACATCTAAGGATCAGACATTCCTTTGTATTTTCCTGTTTTCAGAAATACTATTTCCGATTCTGGCAAATATTTCTTTTTTTTTTTATTTAAAATGTAATTTTTATTTTTATTTTTTTTAAATTTATTTATTTATTAAGGATTTCTGCCTCGTTCCCACAACCGCTTCCCATTTCCCTCCCCCTCCCCCGATCAAGTCCCCCCCCTCATCTGCTCGAAGAGCAATCAGGGTTCCCTGACCTGTGGGAAGCCCAAGGACTGCCCACCTCTATCCAGGTCTCGTAAGGTGAGCATTCAAACTGCCTAGGCTCCCACAAAGCCAGTACGTGCAGTAGGATCAAAAACCCACTGCAATTGTTCTTGAATTCTCAGTATTCCTCATTGTCCGCTATGTTCAGCTAGTCCGGATTTATCCCATGCTTTTTCAGACCTAGGCCAGCTGGCCTTGGTGAGATCCCAATAGAACATCCCCATTGTCTTAGTGTGTGGGTGCACCCCTCGTGGTCCTGAGTTCCTTGCTCGTGCTCCGTCTCCTTCTGCTCCTGATTTGGACCTTGAGATTTCTGTCCGGTGCTCCCGTGTGGGTCTCTGTCTCTGTCTCCTTTCATCGCCTGATGAAGGTTAATATTCCTGAGGATGCCTATGTGTTTGTCTTTGGATTCACCTTATTTAGCTTCTCTAGGAACATGAATTATAGGCTCAATGTCCTTTATTTATGGCTAGAAACCAAATATGAGTGAGTACATCCCATGTTCCTCTTTTTGGGTCTGGCTTACCTCACTCAGGATAGTGTTTTCTATTTCCATCCATTTGTATGCAAAATTCAAGAAGTCCTTGTTTTTTACTGCTGAGTAATACTCTAATGTGTATATATTCCATACTTTCTTCATCCATTCTTCCGTTGAAGGGCATCTAGGTTGTTTCCAGGTTCTGGCTATTACAAACAATGCTGCCATGAACATAGTTGAGCATATACTTTTGTTGTATGATAGGGCCTCTCTTGGGTATATTCCCAAGAGTGGTATTGCTGGCAAATATTTCTAAAGATTTTTTTTAAGATTTTTGTGTTATTTACCTGTAAGATCCTTTCCCTTGCTTGTTACTCATTTTTTTTTGCATTTGATGGAAACAATTTATTTCACATATGGTATCATGGTCTTTCTAAATTCTGAATGTGGGGAACATCTCTTTAAAATTCTGGCTTATATGTTATATTTCATACTAACTGAATAAAGAAACAGTACTTCCATAGAAGAATACTGCTACCCATAATACTTTAACAAAATTTCAAACCACAGAAAATTTTCAATGAAATACACATCTTAACAGTTTCTTCTTTCTCCCACATAAATTACTTGAAAACAGCCATGAGATGCAGTATGTGGTAATGGTGGAAAACATTTCTGGACTGGATTTTAAAACCTACAAATGACTCATCTGACCATCCAACAATGAATTTCTAGCAGTTGGTTTCCATAAAGACCCACCTACCAAGTCCAATACCTACATCACTTCATACATCTTTAGCAGAAGTTCATTTCATAGTCAATCTTTTTAGTCATAGTACTTATACTATCATATTGGCAGGATAATTATAGCATGTATAAGTACTTCTCTTTCTATAATCTAAAGTCAACTAAAAAAGAAAGCACACACCAAGATACCAAGATCTTTCAAGGCAACTGTATTCATTCCTTTCCATGTATATACTAAGGTAAGTATATGCTGCTTTTCCAAACCAAGTTTGGAAAAGGATCTTACATAGCAGAAGGGAATATTTTTTCTTTTCTTTTTCACTTTTTTATTGTTTTTACTGCATTATACATTTTCTCTGCCCTCCTCCATACCTCCCCTCTTTCCCTTTTACCCTCTGCCATGACCCCCGTGCTCCCAATTTACTCAGGATATCTTGCTTTTTTCTCAAAAGGAAACATTTTTACTAAGCTACTCATTGATCAAGTCATGAGGCATATACTGGGAGAGTCAACATCTATTCTCTTTTCCAACATGTCAAACTTATGAGAAGGCCTGTATTAACTTTGTACCAGGAGAAGCCTATGGAAGCCATTCAGATTTGCCAAAACAGGGAAAAAGGTACAGGACAGGAGGAGCAAGAGGTGTGCTGATTGTCCTACGTTTAAGTGCAGAAGGTGCTGGCAAGAAAAAAGAAGAAATAAAAAACAATAGAGTAAAGTTGTATTTCTTATGATGCCATGCCAAGCAAAAAGCCTCCAAAAAATCCTCCAGTTACTAGAACATTCTTCTTTACAAATGACACAACCTCCTCAGCTTTGCTCTTGACCTCAGTTGGTATTTGGTTATTCTTATGAATCTTCAACTGCTCTTTGGCTTTTTTCATGTCTTTCTCTACTCGTTGCCAGTCAACTTTGATATACCCAGTATGGTTTGCCAGCTGAAGTAGAAAGAATCCACCTCCTACAGCTGTTGCAGCCAATTTTTCAACTTTCTGGAATATGAAACCAGTGCACCATCCAGTAACACCTCCAATTATTTTTGAAGTATATTTTGTACTGTGAAGCCAGAGAGAAGGATGTGAATTGAGTTTTCTTTCAGCAGTATATCTAATATCCCCCAAAGCATATTTAGAATAGTCAATCTTTTCCCCACTAAATGATGATATTTTCCAGAACATATACAATTCTGAGATGTTTCTGCTCTGCTACCACAGATCTGTTCATTCTTTATATGATTTACTATGTTTTGATATGTAGTAGGAAATGTCTCAGGGAGATTTCACCTCTTAAACATGTGCTTTAATTCTTTTGAAAAAAAAAATCAAACTATTAAAGGCTTCTCTTTTCAGTCTTGCTTTGGTCCAGTATTTCCTAACTATACTACCCTGCCTCCTTTTGGAATGGTAATGTTTATTCCGTGTTATTGTAGACTGGAAGTATGTGATATGCCTTTTGATTTTGATTTTACAGGGCGTTGCAGTTTGGAGATTGCCTTGGATTACAGAAAAGACTTGATTTTTAAACAGTCTTGAGACTATGAGAGATTATGGGAATCCTTGAATTTCTATTTAATGCATTTTGCAGTATGACATGGCTTCAGGCCTGTGGGGTTCAGGGAGTAGAATGTGATAGCTGAGCAAAAATATTCCCCGTAGGATAATATATGCGAATGCTTGGACCTCAGTTCATATACTTCTTAGAAAGGCTTAGAGGATATGGCCTTATTGGAGGAGATATGACCTTTGTAGAGCAGGTATGTCAGTGGGAGTGGACTTTAAGACCTTTTCAAGCTCACGTCAGGACCAATCTCTCTCTTTATCTCTTTCTCTCTGTATCTCTCTGTATCTCTCTCTCTCTCTCTCTCTCTCTCTCTCTCTCTCTCTCTCTGTGTGTGTGTGTGTGTGTGTGTGTGTTTGTGCATGCATGCATGCATGCATGACTGGAGGCTGGGGGATCAGGATGTAAAATTCTCATGTACTGCTCCAGAGTCACGCATATCTATTTTCTACCACAATAATGGAGTAACCCTCTGAAACTGTAAGCAAGCTTCTAATTAAATGCTTTCCTTTATAAGAGTTGCCTTGGTCATGGTTTTTCTTCATAGCAATAGGACATGAGACAATATCTCTTGCTCTCAAATGAAACCTCCATTGCTATAAATGAGTTACACTGAGAATCAAGTTGTTGACCAAATGTGCTCCGTGAAAATCCCCAAACAATCCAATCTATCTCCAAGACTATGGGTTGTTTTTGACAAACTGATGATTATCCTATTGCTGAATACAATGCCTACATAAATCATTGATCATGGAGAAGTTAAGCTAGTGAATACCTGAGCCTTTACCACTTCTGACTAGTCTTTTGGTACTGGGAGGTATTCTGCATGCTACTAAAGGAGAGAAGTAACAACCCAGCTACAAGCCCTTCTTCCTATAAAAGTGTCCTGCCTGCAAGATATGCTGATGCAATAGTGTCACAATATTTTGGTGGTAACTAACCATTATCTTTGATTAGAACTAAGGCTCTCTCCATGGGATGGAATCCAGGCCCAACACTGCTTGAATGACCAAGAATATGAGATAAAAAATGGATCTAGAAAAAAAGCATATCATATAGCTCTGATAAAGGAATGTAGCAATCAAATGACTTCAAATGATATTCTGATATACTCATAATCCACTGTCTTGCCCAGTTATCCCCAGAGAAACTTTCTCCCACAATAGGTTGGATAATATGGAGACACACACCCGGACACTGCAGAGAATGTGAGACCTTATGTCCTTAGTACTAAAGGAGATGTATCCATCAAATTTCTCATCTTGGGACTTAGTGAATGCTATAGAAGAGGAGGCAGAATGACTGTAAAAGCTAGTGGATACCAAAGACACTGAGGAAACAAGGCTTCTAGACACAAAAGTTTCATCTGTCTGAGTGACAGACAAATGAACTCACAGAAAGAAACTGTGGCAGCATGCATAGAGCCTGAAGAGGTCTAAGTCCGCTGGAGCTACAGCATTGACAGGAAAATGGACACAAGTGCATATCCCTAAACCACAGTACATCTTCAGTTGAGAAGATCTCAAAAAGAAAAGATCTCCTCTGTAAATGAGTCTCACTTGGTATGCAAGCAACACTTAAGGGTAGATCCCAGCCCCAGGAGTAATAGGCCAACATTAAAAAAAATATTTTTAGAGTTCTTTTGTCTCATTTTTATTCTTGTTTGTTTGTTTTGTTTTTCATTACAGGTCTTTTGTAAGAAAATATAATTCTGAGTTTGTGTTTAATGGTAATTCTCTGTGTGCAAATGAGTTTACCTCTGCATCTGTACGTTTCTTGTGCCATTTCTATGGCTCTTCTTTTCTGTTTTTCTTATTCGTTTTCACTTGTTTTTATTGTATCTTATCTTTTTTATATTTTTATAATGAGAGAAATAAAGAAAGAAGAAAGAAGGAAGGAAGGAAGGAAGGAAGAATGTGGGTTTGGGTAGGGAGGGACCTGGGGAGGATCTGAGAGGAGTGAGGGAGAGGAACCATACTCAGGATATATTGTATGAAGAAAATGTAGTATCAATAAAAATAATATTAAAAAGTTGTAACCCATTTATTGCATTGGGCTTTTGTGTCTAGAATGGACTGTCACCCTATTTTAGGGTAATTCGATTTAACTCTATTCATTTGTCCTTTCCTTTATTTTCTCTCTGTTCTTATCTTCAACTCCCTATCTCAATTTAAAGCTTCATTTTTGGTTACTCATCTTTAAACCTTTATACCATTTTTCTATTTTCTCTCTTATGAAAGCTCTTCTCCAAGATCCCTTACTAATTTCCTGACCACTTAGTGTATTCCACATGAAACACACATACCTGAGGTTTCATAGCTAGCATCCACAAATGAGAGAAAACATGATTTTTGCTCTCAGAGGTCTGGAATAACTCACTCCAAATAATTCTTTCCATCTCCATCTATTTACCTGCCCAAACCATTTTTCTGCCAAAACCATCCTAAATGGAGAGACATTTGGCACAGTCCCACTGGAATCAGAAACAAGATAGGATTGTCTATCATCTCAAGTTTTTATTCTATTTTTCTCTAAGCACCTGCCGGTGTAATAAGGCAGGAGAGTAAATATAAATGTATATAAATAGGATAAGAATAGGTTCAATTATGCCTATTTACACATGCCATGATGGTATACATAAGAAATTACAAAATTCTACCAGAAACCTTTGGGAAACAATAAATAATTTCAGCTTGATGACAGGATACAAAGTCAACTTGCATGAATCAATTATTTCTATATACCAGAAACAAGTACAAAGAGAAATAATGCATATTGGAAACACTGCCACTTACAGTAGCTCAAAATGAAAACAAAATTTCTGAAAATAGATATATCAAGAATATAAAGAATGTCCATAATAACAACTTAAAAACAATAAACAAAAAGATAGAGACAGGTACTAGAAAATTGAAAGAAATTAAATACTTGTGGGTTGGTATCATCACCATCAATTCTATCAAAACCCACTTGCCAATTCAGAATAATCCCAATACAAATCCTCCACTGTATTATTCAAAAATATAAAGAACTCCTTATTCCTAAAGTTCAAAAGGTTTCATGAAACACTCCAGAAAGACAATCAACACATGTTCTTTCTATTCTGCAGTTCCTAGCTCCAAATCTGTATATGTGAGAGTGTAACCTGTAATAATAGCAAAACCAGACATGTAAAATGGTACCATTGTGGTAGGGATGGGCATGGGAGGTGGAGGAATAATAGAGAGAGGAATACCAGGGTACAAGTGATTTGAAGGGGGAATTGGAAAAATGGGGAAACATTGATTAGGGAAGAGTGAGGTAAATAGAAGAAATATGGGGTGGAGTAAAATAATTGTTAAGAATATCTTATTACCTTTTTAAAGTAATAAGGAATCATGCTATTAACTATGTACCAAAGAATACCATAATATATTTTACTATAATATATTTAACTCTTGGTATACATACACAAACACAGTATCAATGAAAGTTTCCCATTGAGCTGACAATGTTCCCCACAAAGAATGTATAGTACCTAACAAAAAGTCCAGCATCAGTCATGAAAAGATCTCTTTTGGTTTATTGATCAGGTCTGCCCAAGAGACTCCAAAATATTAACTATTGTCATTGCTCTTTGTTGCCCCCTAGAGTTTAAAGGTAATTACATACCACTAAAGACAAGCACTTCCCAAACATAAGAAATGCAGAAGACCAGAGCTGGTTCTGACCTGAAAGCCTTCTCCCTAAAAACTGTGTTTCCTGGTACCATAAATTACCATGCAAGCTTTCAAAGGAGGAAAGCAACCAACATTCCTATCCAGCTCTGCGTATTAAATAGTGGTGCACATACGTTTGAGATAACTAACAGGTCGCTGATGGGCTTTGAAACCCACCTAACAGAGGTTAAACTGATTCTGGTACTAGAAACCTAGTCAACGACCTAGTGAAGGGAAGTGCTAGGGAAGGCATGGGTCTTGCAGGAGAACCTACAACTTGCTGCTCTCCTAAACCAGCATAGTTCCTAAATACATTATAAATATTTATCTTATACACACAAATAAGAGCAGTTCTCACCCGACGTCAAGAAAACTTCCCTTTGCAACAGATGGAGACCATTATAAAAAATGACAACTGATCAAAATTCAGTCATAACAGCCAATACAATCTGATAGCTCTACAAGACAACTCCTGTACCTAAGGCTAAGGGATCCTTGCAGAAAGGGGGTTAGAAAGATCCTAGAGCCAGAGGAGCAGAGATTGCTGTGAGGTTGTTTCTCCTAGAAATTTCAGGGAAGCTATACTCATAAACTCTCACTACATGGCTTCACAACCATGATCTTATCAAGGACAACACCAGTAGACATGCTAACATTCAAGGGTAGAAATCTCATAGAACTTTCACCCTTGACAAAAACCACAGATAACTAAGGAATTCTGAGAGTGGGGATAAAATTTTTTCCTCAGAGGAGATCACACCAACTGGTTATCCAATACCAACTAGTCAGGCATTATATGGACTTAGCTGGTTTTATTTATGTAATCAGAAATACCTACAAACATAGATAGATAGATAGATAGATAGATAGATAGATAGATAGATAGATAGATAGACATGTAACAACAATTAAAGAAAATGAGG